ATTATATATAGCGTAATTTAGTCTTTGCTGCTTCTTTTTTTTATGACACGTTGCCACATCTGCCTTAGTTGTTTCGATCCTTTCATCAATCACGACGCAAATGGCAATGAAAATCAGAATATCTCAACGGGGTAGATTCTCATAGCGGTATAAGTCTAAATAGATTTGACTCACCAAAAATCTTGCATCGGAAAGATCGATCCTCATGAATCCCCGTTTCGCGTGTTTCCACGACTATTGGCGATGAGCAAGAAACGTACGGATATTAGAAAATTCGCATGACCGCCATAGCCCCCCGGATTTCGAGCGAAGAACACCTGTAAGCTTCCAAGCGATACCACGGTCGATCGTATCGTAGTTTCCCTTTCTGGAGCCAACGTGATTTTCATTGTCACCGTGATTGCTCGGTCAGCCACCGTTTAACGAGGAGATTCGCGCAGTAGGTGGCCATCGGATATTAAACCAAACCCTCGGCTAGGTAATTTATGTCGGCACGGTCGTGCATAATGCTGTTTGCGCAGAGTTATGCCAACACGTGCCTCGCCGCGTGCTAACGCGCGTGCCGGGCCCTTTATGTATTTATTCCTTGTTGCGTTTCGGATTCACGGCTGCCACGCGTCTGCTCCGCGTTCATGCGATTTTAAACGTCGCCCAGGGGTTCTCGAGTCCCCGCACCCAAATCTCTCGCCTCCGTTCATCTTGTTTAACAGGAAAGTTCATAGTAAATTAGGACTTTGTATAATACAATGAACTGACAAGAAAAATGTGGTAAACTCGACCTAATATAAACTAAACTTCTGTTCAATTGCCTTCCGAAGATTATATATTCTTTATTTTATTAAACAATGTGAACAACAATCCGTTCTACTCTATGGGTTGGTTTAAAATTGCTTTTCTTCCACCTAGGTCCTCGCATTCCACCCCTTTGCACCTCTTTCTGGGTATAAACAAAGTTGCCAGCGCCCATCTCAGAGTCCAAACTATATTTCTATATCTCATGAACCTTCCATCGTGCTCTATGTGTTGGAACAGTTCGTTTTAACGTGTCCCACTGTAGAACCCTACAGCCACCCTATAGACGAC